CCTTGTTGCCCTCTGCTGTCCGAAGAAGTCGTCTCCACTCTACTCGATCCATGGCCACAGTTCGCCAGCCTCGTAGTCTGCGAAGGGTCCGCAGGTCACCTTCTACTTGGTCGATCCACCTTGCCCGCTGCGCGCCTCTTCTTCTTGTTAGTGTTGGGTCGCTTTGTAGAACCATTTTCACTGGGTCGTTGTGCAGCATTCTTACGACGTGCCCAGCCCACCGTAGTCACCCAATTTTTGCAATGTGGACGATGGATGGTTCTCCCAGCAGCTGGTGCAATTCGTGGTTCATTCGCCTCCTCCACGTTCCGTCATCCATCTACACTCCACCGTAGATGATACGCAACACCTTCCGTTCAAAAACACCAAGTTGGTCCTCCACGAGCATAGTCCAGGTCTCGTAGCCGTAGAAGCCGACGGTCTAATCAGCGTCTTGTACGCAGTCAACTTCGTGCAGCGGCGAATTTTACTCGACCGGAGCGTCCTCCGGAGTCCAAAGTAGGCACGATTCCCTGCCATAATGCGTCTTTGAATTTCTCTGCTGGTATCATTTTCGGCGGTCACCAGTGAGCCCAAATACACGAACTCATTGACCACCTCGATTTCATCAGCGTCAATCTGAACTCGGGATGGGAGGCGAACACTGTCTTCCCTAGAACCTCTTCGTCTCATGAATTTTGTATTTGATGTGTTGATGACAAATCCAATTCGCCTAGCTTCAGCCTACAATCTGATGTACGTTTTCGCCATCATTCCAAAGTTCCGTGCCATGATGTCGATGTCATTGGCGAAGCCAAGAAGCTGGATAGATTTCCTGAAGATCGTGCGACCCGTGTCTATCCCAGCTCTTGTGATCACACCTTCTAACGCGATGTTTAATAGCAGACACGTAGCTGCCGTAGCCCCCTTCGAGATTCAAAGGGACCCGAGAGTGTCCCCAATACTCGAACAACGCACATCACTCGATCCATCGTCGCCTTCACCAATCGCGTCAGTTCATCCGGAAGTCCGTACTCGTGCATAATCTTCCATAGCTGATCCCGATCGATTGTCGTATGCGGATTTGAAATCCTTTAAAGTTCAATTAATTTTCTACAATTTCTTCTTAAACATAATTTTGATTCAATTGACGGTTTTATAGTAGGCATTTTTTGAAAAATGCCAACACATATTCCCTTTTCAAAAATTAGTCTTTATTCAAAATAGTCTCGATGATATGTGGAAAATCATAATCTCCCATACTACAGACATATTCAAAGTTTAGAAGGATTCCGTAAGTTAAGAACAATTTGAACTTGTTTATTTTCTGAATCTAAATTCCTAGTTGGCACAAGCGCAATCTGATCTGTATGATGATTGCAAAACAAAAACTTCCCTACATTCATCCCCAAAGTCCATTACAAATGTGTTCCTCCCCAATCGTTTCACGTGCTTTCATATATTTTGCTCAAACACGACCAACTCATTAGGATGGGTTTTATGTCACAACCCTCGTGAGAATCGGCCCACATTTCCTGCTCCACCCGGTCCATCTCAATCCGGGACCGCTTCTATTCCACTTCCATCTATCACGGGGCGACCACCCATTTCCATTTCCATCCTAGGTAGGTATATCGAGCCATTTTTACGACCTCCGTCCGGTTCAACCCCGCTGATGAAGTGGCTCTCATTAACCTCATCTCTCATTTCGGATAAGGAAATAAATTTAATGTCTTTTTCTTACTTCGACCCAGTCGTCGTCGTCGTCGTCGTCGTCCTAATAAGAACTTCTTCGAACCTCATTTTCCCCTGCCACTAGAATCAACGACAACGACGTGCGAAGAAGGCCATTCCGTAGTGCAATCCATCTTCGGCCGTGTTCACCTAGAGAGTAGACTCACATCCATACGTCTGGAGAAACTTCCTTCCGGTCAGCCAGCGTCGGCGTCGGCGTCGTCGTCGTCTGAAGCAGTTGGCAAATGAACCGTCCCTGTTGTTTCAGGACCGATACTAATTACGCGGTGAGCACAGGATCTGTCGACTGTCCCACGGGGTCAGTTTTCCGAGACGCATTCAAAGTGCATGTTTTATGGCCAACCGGACTAGTTTATGAGCTTCAACTTCTACGACCAACGTTATGTAGAAATGTTCATTTATTCTGTCAAAAGAGAAAACTTTTCCCGTTCTTTGCCGTCTCATCCCACAGCCAGACGGCAGCCAAAAGTGATAAGAAAGCGCAATCACTGATGAGTGCCTGGGTGAAATCCGATTAACTCATACATAATTCATCTTGTTTATAGAAAAAAGAAGTTTTTCATTTGATTATGAGAGCTCTCCCATCCGTCGTCGTTGGGTTGGGGAAAGATTGGAAGCTAGCTGGCTGATGGAATCAGTTATTTATGAGCGCATGTCGGATGATGAGCCGGATGGGAGGGACACGGCCAAGTGACAGTGTGGTGCATGGCTTCTTCGGGGACGGTCGCGGAGATGTTTACGATGTCCTTGCATTTCCTATCACGAACATCATTAATCATCATTCTCCGGCGGCAGAAGAGCGGAATAATTGCTGCCGATTCTTCTGGCCAGCACAGTTGATTTCAGTCGTTGTGACTTGCGAGAGTGGGTAGATTGGGAAGTTTAGTGAGGTGGGATCGATATCCTAGGGAGGGCACTGTGATTTTCATTAAAATGGTGTGAGTTTCTTTGCATTTGTTCGGAAGTTTCAACGAGTTGTTTTTCAGAATATTCCGAATTCCTAGATAGCCTAGTCAGTGAAGGTACGCTATTACGGAGGCGGTCGGTGGTGGGTTTGATTCCCGGTCTGGTCGAGGAAATCTTTTGGGTTGGAAATTTTTTCGACTTCCCTGGGCATAGAAGTATCATTGTATCAATTTACAAATTCATGCATTGATTGGCACAGAAAGCTTTCAATTATCAATTCGTTGAGAGCAGGTGAAAACCTCACAAAAGATGTGTAAAACCCTAGAAGAATCAGCTAGGTAGGAATTCACGTATTTCCGTCAATCTAAGCAGCCTCCGCACATCTATTAGTATTTTATCAGCGTCACGCATACATCAATCCTCTGCCAAGAAGGAGAGTTGCTGAAGCCACCACCATTGGTGGTGTCAGCACTGTAGCCTACAGTTTTTATGCTATGTTTATATGTGCATTGACGACACGTATGCGTTAAAAAATCGTATGTGATTAATCAATCATGAAACTTGAATTTTTCATGATTGCCTAATTTAAGAATTAATATAATAAATATTTAATTCCTACACATGTACGCGCTTGTTGAACATGTATCACGATTATTTTGTCGTGCAACAAATCAAACATCTATGTGGACCGAGCATGATTTCTCAACGTTTGGATCAGCTGTCTTAGATTGGCAGATAATCGAGCCAAAGAACCGACAAATTTGGCTTCAGGCAAAATGTTGGTGGATGACATTTCTGCCACCGGAGCTCCGCGGAGTGGCATACATCCCAAGTAACAATTTAAGTTTTATAAAACACTACAAGGGTACTATAAAACAACAACTATAAAACACTGGTCAAGGCAACTTTAACTTCATTACTTCCACCAAAACCTCATTTAAACCAGAATATGTCTAGTTGGCCCACTCTGGAGAAGGTTCTGAAGTGTACATTTCCGAAGCATTTTAAGATAGAATTGCAGTACAAAGATAACATGACATAAGTGTTGAAAGCTATTTGAAAACCGTATTTAAACTATAATAAAAGCTGTTTGGCATCAATATAAACCTTAAAAATGCGATTTTTCCTATGTGCTTGCTAAATCTGCTTAGAATGGCATTTACCATTCCAAAGAAAGGATTCATAAATACCACCCGTTCTGCACAAATCCATTTCAACAATAAAAAAACATATCTATCACGGAACAGGACAGTATAATATATACTTCAATTTAAACATTAACGAAGTGGTATATTAACAATGCTGCCAAATGAAAAAGACACTCTTATATTAGTTAGGATTTTAGTGCCAGATCAAATGCATCGTAAAATGATCATTAAAAAATCATAAAAAATAAGTTCGCCCTAGAAAAACTTTGATTTTTACAAATTATTTCGAATCGTAAAAAAAACATTTTTTTACGACGATTGATTATTGAGCTTAGCCAATTATATTTGAGAATTTTTCAATCTTTATTGTCACCTACAGATAATTTGGTTAAATTTAAGTGATATTCAAGGAAATAAATGATGAAAATGAAAATACTAAAAATACGTACAAAAAATCAGTAATATGGCGGAGGAGGAAAACATTTTTTTAAGGGATATATTTAAATAAGCAATTTTGCTTTCATAAAATCACCAACAAATGCATAATGGCTTATTATAGCATTTATAAAGTAAATTTGAAGACCACATTGTTTATTTATAATTCATTTTGACTTGACTTGGTACCGTTCAGTTTTATGATGGCATTAATGGTAACAAAGTTGCCTGGAGAAAAGTGACAGTTCAAACTTTTGCGGAAGGGAGTCAGCTAGCGACGTCCAAGTTCAAGTGCGGAAAAAATGCCATTTAAAGTGGTACAAACAATTGAACGAGGCGAAACATGCCTAACCGTAATTCCTTCTGGTTGGGAAGAAGCTGGAATCCTACACTGGCCGAAGAAAAACGCGGTAGCGAAACTCTCTCAAGACGAGTTCTCCACGCCAAACCCAAAGTGGGAACGTATCAATTGCGTGAAAAAAAGAGAGTTCAAGACTCGCTTGGAGGCTGAAGCGGAATTGGAACAGATGGAGCCAGTTTCGGATACGGAGGCCGACGAAGGGAATAATCCACCACCGTCAAAGAGAGTTTGCCCCGAAGTCTTCAAGTCCCCCAGTCGGAACGGAAACACAATAAGAGACTTTAACGAAGTTTTCCTTATTCCTGGGCAAGAGGTTGACACCTGTGAAGCTGACTGTAAAATCCAGAATCAGGTGAGATTATAATATATGCGACACAAATTTACTTCTTTATAGAGGAACATTTCTATAAATTCAGACCAATAACTCTGACACCATCATGCTGTTCAGTAATGGACCAAACGAAGATGTACCAGGGCCATCAGCATTGATCCTATCTCCTGACTCTATCCAGCACAACTCACAAAACTCCAACATGATTGCAAACCAGCAGATGATTCTGGAAAACCAACAGATCATTGTGAATAACCAGCTGAAACTGATGCAAGCGCTTGCTAAAATGCAAACAGGCGTGGATTATCTGATGGAGAGCAATATGTTTGGGAATATCCAGCCAAATGATAAAACCAACATCTTACTGAAACCGGTGGACTCTCTTTCGGATCTAAATGCATTGGAAGAGAGCCTGAAAGAACCTACTGCTATGGAAAAATACATAACTAACATGAGTTTTATCTGCGGAACAGACGGCAAATCAACAGGTATGGACAGTTGTTATAAACTCGTAGATTTTTTCATTACTAGAGAGTTCATGCACTTATGTTCATGGACTGGAAACTCCAAAGTAACCGATGAGAATGATTCTTTGAACGCGCAGTTTCTAGAATCTCCGGGTAAAATTCCGTTGAAATTTTACACTAATTTTCGATCGCTGTTTTTGAAACTGATTCGCTTGGCTGACAAAGATTTCACGGAAGTTAAGTGCGATGAGTTTTTCAAACGTGTAATGAAAAATAGCAAGGCAAGGCTGCAAGCAAAAACGGCATCGAAACATAAGAACCGTCCAAACAATTTGAAATACAAGTCTCGCAAAACTGAGATCTCTACTGGGAATGGTCAAGAGGAACCTACTGAGAAAAAAACGTCTGAATCTGCTCAAGCACCGCAGAGCTAAGTGCAACTTTTTATTAGTTAGTTGGTACAGTTCGGATCCAAACAAGAAGTAGGTAATTGAATCTTTTAAAGTTCCGTAGTAAATTTATAATTAATTTCAGAAACGGGAATCACATCTATTTATTTAAACGCTCTTCACCAGCTACGTAACACATCCATCCGGTCACGTCGTTTATCATTGGACTTGCGTGGAGCGTGGGATATTCACAAGCAGCATTCCCTTGCAACGATGTCAGATTTACAGACCTTTGAACACGACAAAAGTGGACACCATCTTCGTTGAACACTTGCAACAATAATCATAATAACGATTTGTTTAATCTATTTAGATAGAATGAAAAGTAAAATTAACTAGTTATTACCAATTATTTGCCCGAACCAGCCAGTATCAGTGTATATTTCAGTAAACGATTGTAGCACCTGATGTTAGCCAAATAACTGGTACTAATCAGCTCATCAGTGAAGTTTGGAATACGTTTTTGTGATTCGTTTAAATGACGGTGCTCTTGTGTTTTGTTGTGCTGAAAAAGATAGAAGTCAGTAACTTACTGAAACAAGGTGTCAACCGCACATATACCCTCAAAAAACGTCTCGGAGGAGCTGCTTCACCAAGCTTTTTCGACAAGAGCCGACTGGAACCTCTTCGGATGTACTGGAGCTGGGAAGGAGCATATCAAATGTAATGTACTTGTTGGGTGAACAATCTGCTTAAAACATTGCTAAAATTTAATGCTAATTTAGCAACGGACTGAAAACTGATCGTTGTTTACATTTTAACAAGAATAAGGCAGGATGACATGATTCAATGCCTTTTATATAAGGTTTGCGCCAGCAGGCTTAGTGTGTGAAATGTGCGTTCGTATTTCATTTCAATGTTTATCTTTGCACGTGAAACAACTGTTGGCAGTGACGTCAATTTCACTGTTCACAGTGTGGAATATTGTGGTAGAGTGATGTCTGCAATATTTTTGCTTCTAACACCAGCAGCTGCCTGTTTACCCGGACCAATGACATTTATATAAGGTCTGGGCCAACAGGCAGCTTGCTGGTGTTAGAAGCAAAAATGTTGTAAACATTGCTGAACATCTTCGAACAGATAGAAATACGTCACTGCCAACATACTGAGAACAGATAAAAATACGTCACTGCCAACAGCTGTTTCGTGTAAAAAGGTAAACATTGCAATAAAATACGAACACCACTAAACATTTGCACATTTCACTAACACCAATAAGCCCTTTGGCCCAGACCTTATATAAACGTCGTTGGGCCCGGACCTTATAAAATCGTGATTGGGTCAGATTTTCATTTTGTCACACGATATTTCAAAACTATCCAAATTTTAGTAGAATCTACTCATCGGTCAAAAGTGAAGCTACTCAAAAATGAGTAAATTAAGTTGGGTATGACAAGTTGGCACATGGACAAAATCGACCAGAATCCGAACGATGTTGTTCATTTGTCAAGTTGTCAATCTTCACTTAGTTTACTCATTTTATAGTAGCTTCACTTTTATCCAATATGAGTTGTACTAACTCAAATGTGGGTAGTTTTGAGATAGCGTGTGCTCAATAAGACATTCGAACACAGCAAAAAATTTTTTTTTGAAATTTACACCGGATCAAATGCACATCAGTTATGTAATATATTGCGTTGTAAGATGTACAAAGAATTTGCGAACAATTTTACATCAGTGAATAATATAATATATTATAATCTTGTATCTGATTCCGTATTATTTGATACATCGGCATGATTTATGTTGATCAATCCTACAATCTTTTTTGCTGTGTACTTTGTTGAAAGGCTTTTCAGAAAAATAAAACATCTGGCATTTTGCTGTTTATTTCTTGTTCCGCATTGGGTAATACTTTCCCGACGTCAATTTTATACAAGGTCCGGCCCAACCGGCTTATACACACTAAGATTTTTTTACAGTATACTGTAATTTTTTACCGAATATGGAACAGCTGAACATTCGGTAATCCATTCGGTAAATTTTTATTTACAATCCGTTCTGTAAATTTTCTTCGGTTGTGGGCTGTCAAAATTTACTGACCTGGACTGTAAATTTTACCGAAAGATCGATAATGTTTACCATAGCGTTCAGTATAATTTTTACCGAATCGACTTATTTCCAGAGTAAATAATAAGCATTCTAATTTTTATTGACTAATAATTAACTGTTTTCTTGTTTCGCCAAACCAAAAGATTCATTCCTTTTAACTATATATTTTTGAAGAGACATTTTCATCTTGCGTTCGTACAGAAAATTTAAAAAAATCATTGAAGAACCCGGACTTGATCGATTCAGTAGCAAACTGCGCTAAAATGCAGTTTTTGCGGTAGAAGTGGCCATTGAGTTGCCTAACGTCTATGGCGTATGAAAGAAATTGGCCTAAAAATTATACTAATTATATTTTCGGCATAAATTGCACGGAATCTAGCTAAAAGTAAAGTACTTACATTTCACAACGTAGAACCGAAAGACACGCAACATTGAAATGGCAGCCAATAACTTTTACAGAATTCGGTGCTCATTCGTCATAAATTTTACAGAATTGCGGAATCACAGCTTTTTACAGTATCAATCCGCGAATTTTATTTACAGTTTTCGGTAAATGTATGTAAATTACGGTAATTCAGCAGTTCTGATTGCCGAAAATTGGTAAAACAATATTTTTTACAAAGCATTCGGTAAAAATTACATTTTACCGAACAAATCCAGCAAAAATAGTACCGAACAAGATTTAAGGAATTTGGTGTGTAGAGCTTGCTAAAGTGTGATTGTGTCAGTGAGTTGTTTTCATCAGGAAAATTTTCCGCTATGAAGTTTTTTTTTTTCCTGATGAAAACATTCCGCGAATAAGTATACGTGACGTAGTGTGCGTACGATAAACGTCAGCAATCTTAATTGGTTTAGTGAAACGTGGAAATGTTTAGTGGTGTTCGTATTTCATCGCAATGTTTATCTTTTTACAAAAACAGCTGTTTTCTGTGACGACACGTCTGCCATTCGCAGAATGGAATGTTGTGCTGCCGTGACATCGTCATTCGCTTGCTCAGCAATTTTTACAACATTTTTGCTTCTAACACCAGCAAGCTGCCTGTTGTTCGAGACCTTGCATGATTGACACCCTCAAATCCGACAGTTTTCGTCCCGCCAGTGGATAAACTAGTTCAAGCATAACTTTTCAAAAGGACGTATGTAACATTGGATAGGAAATTAGAAACATTGGAAAGCAATGTCTATATGAGATTATTAAATGCTATTTAAAAGTTAATGCTATTTTTTTAAATCTGTTTGTGCTATTAGTTGGATAAAAGGATTGCGTTTAAGAGAATTTTGAAAAAAATCGAGTTTTGCAAACACGGACAATACTTTTGATAAAACAAAATCATACACCTTTTACTTGTGTACTACTCACATACACCCTGATTGATTCGTCGGTATCACTCCTTGATTGTTACATACACCCTGCATGATTCGTCTATTTGACAGAAGGGTTTTCACATACGTCTAATCAGATACACCGGTTTTTGTTTTGCAGTGAAGATACGTCGGCAGCTCGAAAAGCATTGAGGAATTGTCGGTTGGTTGATTAATTTACATAACTACCCACAGTTGCGAAATAATCGATGTTAAAAGCGGAGATAAGAGGGTCACTGCATTAGCTGTTGTCAGATGTTAAACGTTTTGTGTTTTTCGTATTCAGAAAGCGCTGGTCAGATTGGTATGTGAAGTTCAATATTAAAGTCAAGATTAAAGTGCAATTTCATTAGAATACTTTTGAAATAATAAACATCTTGCTCCCAGAAATACAAAAACAAACATACAAACTTGACGCATTTGCAGATTGATATTGGTTGCTTTGTTTTTTCACATACTACGCTTCACTGTGAGCGTATCTGCAGTTTTTGTGTTATCATCAAATTTTAACAGTTAAGTCATGTTGACAATAAAAGGGTGTATCAACACCATTTTAAAAACAATGAAAGAACGTCACATAGGGCGTTTATTAAATATATTTTCCATAATGTATTACAATTTCAAACCTTGTTTTTCATTAACTCGTAGGAAAAGCATGTATTTTATAACCGGTTAGATGCAAAATATGGATTTGTTTATTTTTGCGACTTACGTCCTTTTGAAAAGTTATGCTTGAGTTTTCAGGTATAGAGATTTTCCGAACTTGTTCGACATATTAATAACAAGTTCGTTAAAGCCATTACTAAAAGCATAAAATGTTGAAATGTATTCACCGCAAGAACAATGTTTGAAGAGAAATTACTGATTTTTTAAGAACCTCCATACCGCAAAACTAGTTTATCCAGCACTGGCGGGGCGACATCTGTTAGATTTGAGAGTAAAAGTATTACCCAGTCCAATTGTGCTTAATTAATAGTTGAATTTAGTTCTATTATAATATCGGGAAGTAGGTAAGGGAAGTTACCAAAGAAGTGAAAATGATGAAGTGATTTTTATTCCTACAATCAGTGAAAGTTGTACAAGATACCTACTATCGGAGTTACATTCTGAATGGTTTCTGCTTGTTTCTACAGAGTGTGCAGTAACGGGATGAAAACAGATTCTCCAGATGGGCTAATAGGGATGGCTACCATTTTACATTTTACATCGTCAGCATTGTAGTATTCTGGTGAGTTTTCTTTGCAATCTGATCTATAGATGTTAAGGTGTGTAGATAAAATGGGCTTTTCGAAGAAAGAACCAATTTGTTTCAAACACGCACCATATATATTGATGGGATCTTTTTCTTGAAGCGCGTGCTTCATTCCCACGATTTTTCCAGACTTAGTCAAAAACCATTTATTGACTCTATCATTGCTCAACGAATATTGGTTCAGATCAAGTTTAGCGTATGCAGGTGTTTTAGAAAGGGGAACAGTATTTTCTCGATATATTTCTTTTGCCAATCTTGGCACCGTGCTTTTTGCGGTTGTTTTAAGGCTTGGATTAGGCATCAGTTGATCTATTTCAAC